TGGAGCTGGACACCGCCCCCTCCCGGCCTGGTGCAGCTAGGGCCCAAGGGACCTGCCTCTCTTCCCGGCCCTCCCCACCCCCCCCAACCCACTGCCCACTCACCTGCTCGAGTGGCCAGACCCACCAAGGTCAGGATGGCCCAGAAGCTGGCCCAGGACCCAGGCTTGGCAGAGCCCAGGCGAAGCATCTTTGTGCCCCGCCCCTGAGCTCCCTGGAAAGACAGTGAAGCCCAGACCACGGGTGCTCACATCCCTCCTCCTTATATAGGGTTCAGCACAAGGGGATGGTACCCCCCTTCCCGACCAGCTTCCCTCCCCCCACCCAGTCTCTGCTGAGGATTGGTGGAAACTGGCCCCAGCTGTTGCCCAGGCAACCACTTAAGCCAGAGAGTGGCAGCCTGGGGCTATTGTGCTGCCACGGGCCCCCGAGGGGGACAGATCCGGCACCCTCCCCCACGTCTTCCACCACCCAGCAAAGCGAGTCATTTCTCTCCTGGGAGGCTTTAGGCTCTCCACAGGGCCGGCCGGGGGCTCCAGGACCTCTGGCAGCTGCTAGCCCGGAGGGTCCCCTGTCCCCTCCCCAACCCCCAGGCACGGTCTCCGTCCTGGCACAAAGTTCTCTTGTCAGCATCTTGGCTAAAGCGCCATGGCGAGCAGGCTGCAGAGGAAGGGCCTGGAAGAGGAGAGGGAAGCAGCGGCTCAGGCCCCCATCCCTCCCCTTCTTGCATTTTTGGGCTGGGTTAGCTCCGCAGAGAGCAGGGCGAGGGTCTTGAATAGGGGCTCATGGGATCACCGCGTCACTTTTGTGTTCCTTGTCAAAGCCTGTTCCTGGCCTGCTCGGGAGGGTGATGGGCCTTTAGAGAGGTCCCCTGGGGACTGTGACCATCATCCCTCAGGATCAAGGTGAATCAAGATGGCAGGGCTGAGCCCAGAGCAGGGATCCACTGCCCCCCGCTCCTTTGCATGTGAGGCCCTCCACCCAGAGCAGGGCTGGCCCCCTTGCAAGAGGCCAGCCCTCAGCAGACAGCCTACCCCCCTGCCCAACTGGCACAAATCTGGGCTCGGGGACTAAAGATGCTGAGGTGGGCACCTGGCTTCCCTGTCACTTCCTTCAACTCGCTTTTCCGAGGGCCTCAGTCTCTAGGCATACCTCTCAGAAGGCTTCTTTTATCAGCTTCTAACTCCCAGATGTAAAGTTTCCCTTCCCAGAATCTCAGGGAGACGCACAGCAGAGCTGGCATCCCACCCCAACTGTAGGAGAAATCGAGGCAGATAGCTAGGTCACTGTCTTGTTAGGTCCGTGCAGAGGAGTGCTCTTCTAAATCCAAAGGAATAGAGAGAGGAAGGCGGGGTCTAGGGGAGTGGGTGGGTCCGTGTGCTCTGTTGAGGCCTCACCTTTTGGGGGAGCAAGTGGGGCCTGGCCCATGTCTTCCTGGGACTGACTCCTTTAAGCTGGATGGATGGACCAATGGATGGAGAGATCCAGCTCAGTTTCCCCGGAGGCGGGGTCCTTGATGGGATGGAGCCTGCCCTCCCACGCTCTCTGTGTCCCAGACACCAGCTCCATGCATTGATTTCTGCTCCCTGCTGACACAGAGACACCGACAGCTCCACCCCCTCTCCAGAGCTGCAGAGAGAGCAAGAACTGGGTCTGGCACCTGCCTCATCCGGGTTGGCAGAGATGGAATTCTCCAGCCCAGCGGAAATCCCTCCCGGCTGCCCTGACCTTCACGCCTGGCTCCCCTCGTCCAGATCCACCATCCCTTGGCTGCCTGCCTGCCCTTCCCATGGACTGTACCACCTCCCCAGCCCGGCCCAGCAAGACAGAGCCTCAGTGTGATGGGGTTCCGGGCCCCCAAGAGCTCCCCTGTTCCCAAGTGCAATGTTTCTCGGGAGGAGCATTATCTGATGATAAGGAGACGTTGGTAAAAGAACCCACTACCCAGGAAGCCAGCTTTCGGTAAACTCTTCTTGACTCCAGCTTCCTTGGGGCTGCATCTGCCTTTCCAGAAGGTGTAGTCCACCTGTTTTGGACTCTCCCATGAACTCTTCTCTACTTAGAGGCGGGGACACCTGTATTTTCTAAGCACACTGGGTGATTGTCGTGTACGCATAAGCTAAGATTTACCTCCGGAGTTAGATGGATGCCACCCCTAGGGTGCAGGGATCAGGAGTCCCCAGATTACCAAGAAGACTCAGAAGGGTCACCTCTGACCCCCCCGATCTCTGAGGGGCCCCACCTCCTACGATTGTGAACTTTGTTGTCCCTGAACCTCCTCTAACGATTTAGAAACTGACTTTCCAGAAATAGGCATTCTCTGTTCTTGGTTTCCTTTTTTTTTTTTCAAGATTTTATTTATTTATTTATTTGTCAGAGAGAGAGAGAGCACAAGCAGGCAAAGTGGCCGGCAGAGGCAGAGAGAGAAGCAGGCTCCCCACTGAGCAAGGAGCCCAATGCGGGACTTGATCCCAGGATCCTAGGATCATGACCTGAGCCGAAGGCAGCGGCTTGACTGACTGAGCCACCCAGGCGCCCCACATTCTTGGTGTCTTACTCTGAGAGTCGTTGGAGTGTGTGCCTGCGTGCTTGTGTGTGTGTGTGTGTGTGTGTGTGTGTGCATGTGTGTGCGTGTGGTCGTGTGTGAGAATCTTGGAGCAGGAGAGAGAAAGGAGGGAATTTGCCCCGCACAGCCATAGAAACAGAGGATCTGAGAACTCTGTTTTGACTTTGCCCTGTGGACCTGGAAGCTCCATCATTCCTTGAGAGCAAGTCTGATGAGCTCCCAAGCTACAACAGTTCCCAGAAAGGAGTGCTGCTTCCTGCCTGAGACAAAGAGTGTTTATAACCTAAGTGACTTGTCTGAGATCTCACGGCAGCCGGGATTCAAATGCCACTTTTCTGCTTGACTTTTCTTCCCATGACTCTACACTGGGTCCCTACGTGGGAAGCTATTTCAGACAGATATGATCCCCAGTGGGCAAGGAATCTCTAGTACTGTAAAAGCCACTGAAAATTCTGGCAAACTTGGGACAAGATGAAAGTTTTCTGTATCTACAAGAATGGATGATGAGACGCTGGATGGAGGGTAGTACGCGCCCCAGAGCGGTGGGCCCCAGACCCGCCCTACCTAGAGTGTGGACTGCCTTAGACCTGTAACATCTCCCTTCCTGAGCTAGGGAAGTGCCCTCAGACACTTAGATTGAAGAACAGGGGATCCTGAGTTTAGGTTCCTGGCCTGTGTCCTCAGCGGGGCACACTAATAATAAACCAGAAGGAATCTATCCCTAATAAATTCCCTGAAGTAAGTCACAGGCCACCAGAAGCTTCCGGGAAGCCAGGCTGTGTCGTCATAGTGGCAGATCTACTCTCCTCCCCAACACCCTCTACCGTGATATTCCCCATCCCCCCTCCCCCCACCGACAGCAATGCTTCTCCCTGAGTGCTCCGTCTGACCCACATCCCATTCTTCTCTAAAGCCCGAGCTCCCAGTGGCCTCTTCCTGCCTGCACACCAGTTCTCCCAGGGAAGGTTGCGGGAGGCGGGGACAAGTGAACCGCTCCAGATGGGGGCGGGGAACACACCTGCATTCACTTCCCACCGCCACATGGTGGCTTGGAGGCCCCTAAGCCTAGTTGCTGAACTTCTCTGAGCCTCCATCCCCTCTTGTGTGAAATAGAGGTCACCAGAGTTAGCTTGGGGGGTGACAAGTGTAGGAGCTAGAGTAAGTGCTCAGGAAATGTTGCCAGAGCTCCGCATACACCCTTGGTCTTTTCAACTTGACTGTAAGAGGCTCCTCCTCGACCCATGGCCTCGAGGTGGTGGCCCAGGGAATTATTTGTGCTTCTTGCATTCTCTGGGGCTGGGGTCCCGGACAGGGCCTGGGGATCAGAGTGGGTCGTAGCTGTTCTGGGCTTGCCGCGCCACCCTGACTGAGGACTTAGCCGAAGTTGGTGCTCTCTGGGGGCCTGCAGGGTCAGAACACGGCCACCAGGGGGCAGCAAGTCCTCCGTGCTAGCCCAGGGTGGGTGTGAAGAGAGGGGAGCAGGTGAGGGTCCAGGTAGCCCCAGCCCCAGAGGTGGGCTCTATCTGAGCGAGCCCAGAGGCCAGCCTACTGCATTGCCGGAGATGGGCACGGGAAGTGATTCCAGACTGGACCTCAGATGTCCTCCGGAGTCAGGCCACACATTTGTCCCGCGTGCCCACTGTGGGCTGCATGGGTCACCTCCCCGAGGGAGTGGGGGAAGTGAGTGGGCACAGATTCCAGGCTCTCCAGAGCGCTCCCTGCACCTGCTGCTGTTTACTTGCCGGTGACTAATATTCCTAGGGGGATGGTCCATTCCACCAAGGCTAAGAAAACAACCGCTCGTGGGGGCCACTGGGTCTTAGACTCCCAGAGCTGCTGGTAGCCCAGCCAGGCTTCTCCCAGAGGTCGCTGCCACCACTGCAATGGCTTCAAGCCACCCTTCCAGGCCCAAAGCCCCCAGGGAGCCTCCTCCTCGTTCCACTGCCTGCTGTGGCTACAGAGCTAACTCCTTCAGACCTAGCCTATGGGGCCTCTCTCCAGATCTGAGCCCTGCCCATGGTGGCCTCACCCCTGCTCTGCAGTGGTCACCCCCACCCCATGCCCTCCTCTCTTTTGATGCCACAGATGGGATCCTTCTGCCTTGTCCGGAAGTCCTCATCGTCAGGATGTCAATGCCGTGGCTGAACCCAGGCCAGTCCCCAGAGTGCCCTGGAACATGAGGCGGCCTCTCCACAGCCCCAGTCCAGCCCCTTCCTCAAGGCCTCCCTCTCAGCCTGACCCCTGCCTGTGCACCCTCTGGGATCCTGCTTTGCTCCAGGCCCAATCCAAGGTGGAGGCTCACTCCCCTGAGCCTCCGCCCCACCCTTTCCTTCCTCCTCCTCCCTCCTCCCACCACCCCACCTCTCTGCACTGACCAGCCCAGTCTCAGTGCTGCAGGAAGAATCGTAGGGTAAACCAACCCTTGGAGAGCTGGCGATGCTGGGAGGGAGCTGCGGGGACCCCCCCCGGAAAAGCCGCGAGGTGACCTAGGACTCAGGACCCAGGAGCATGACGCTTGAGGGGCAGGAGGCAGGTGACGTATCCAGAATGAGGTGGGAGGGGAGAGGACAGTGGCAGGCAGGTGAGGAAAAGGTGGGGGATCAAGACGCTTGAAACGGATTGCTAATGAGCGGTGGGCGGGGAAACTAGGTTCAGCTGGGGTGGGGGAGGGGGGTACAACATCGGGGGAGGGCAGGGATGACTGCGGCGGTGGAGGGGGACCTTCAGCAGGAAATTTAAACCTGGACTATGAAACCTAAAGACCTAAAGTCTAGGCTGAATGGAGCAAGGACCAGACTATGTGGTCACCGACTCCTCTAGACTCAGTTTCCCCGTCTGAACACCAGGGCCATCGCAGCTCCAGTAGTGCTCGCCAACAGAGAGGGCTGCTCTTTAGGGAAGAAGGGCAGGAAACCCAGTAATGTCACTCCTTCGAGAGGGGACGGCTGCCGAGTAGAGCCGAGTGGCTGCTATGAGTCACCGTGGGTGAGAATCACCCAGGCTGCTCGCTAAAAACACAGCTGCCCAAGCCCCACTCCGGACCCCAGCTCAGACGGAGGCCCCCCCCGCCTCCCTGACTGTGCCGTCCGGCCTGTTTCAGGGCCCTGACTTCCAGGCCGGAGATGTGCCTCGAGAAACACAATGGAGAAATAGTGCTGTGGCAGCAAAAAATGCCACGGAGGACTTCTTCCCTTTAATGGGGGAGTCAGGTCCCTGAGGGACGGGGTGGGCTGGACCTGGCCATAGGGATGGCCGTTTGCTGGGCCTGACCAGGGGACATGCAGAGGATGGGGGGAATAAAGATCTCGGGGGCAGGGGCAGGCTGGAGAGAGACCTAATGCTCTAACCGGACCCTTCCACTCTCCCTAGCTGGCCCACCACGAGCAACCCCGCTGCCCACAGCCAATGGCAGTGGGCCAAGCCAGGAACTGGAAGGCCATTGGCCAGAAGTCCCGGCGCCGTCCCCTTGTGTGGCTGGCGTCATCCCTGTCATCTACTACAGCACCCTGCTGGGCCTGGGGCTGCCTGGTGAGTGGGAAGCATTGGGGGTGGGCAGAAGTGGGGGTCCACTTTCGATGGGTGTCCATCCTCTGTGCTGAACCCTGGGACCCAGAACCTTAGACTCCGGGACACCTTTTGACTTTATAGAGCGATCTGGGTCATTGGGGAACAAAGCCTAGTGGGGAGTAAAAGTGAGGGGCCAGGATTTGGGGTGCCCATGGCTAAAGCCAAGGTGTCACCAGAAGGGACAGCCCTCTCCGTGCCACCTCCCCGCCCCCTGCAGTGGGCACTGTGCTAGGCTAAGTTCATGTAGCACTGCCCTCAGCTTGGTTGAAATCTTCCCCTATGGTCTACTTCTTCCGAGAGCAGCAGAGCTAGGGGACAGGTCGGGAAGTGGAGTCGGGAAAGGACAGATGGTCTCAGCCTTGGGGAATTACCCACCTTGTCCCCAGGTGAAGACAATGGCCTGTGGTGGATAGATGGACAGGGCACGGCTGACCTGGTTAGCCTCCCTGATAAAGTGAGCTTTAAGGGTCTAGGAAGAGGAAAAGAGAAGCCAGGGAGAGGAGAGGGACGAGGATAACCCCTTGGAAACATAGTCTAAGCAGCCCTTCTAACCCCTCTGCCTTCTGCCTTCTGTGACCTCTGTCGCCATCAGTCAACCTCCTGACCACAGTGGCCTTGGCCCGGCTGGCCACCAGGACCAGGAAGCCCTCCTACTATTACCTTCTGGCACTCACGGCCTCAGATATCGTCACCCAGGTGGTCATCGTGTTCGTGGGTTTCCTCCTGCAGGGGGCAGTGCTGGCCCGGCAGGTGCCCCGGGCTGTGGTGCGCTCTGCTAACATCCTGGAGTTTGCCGCCAATCATGCCTCAGTCTGGATTGCTGTCCTGCTCACCGTGGACCGCTACAGCGCCCTGTGCCACCCCCTGCAGCACCGGGCCACCTCGTCCCCAGGCCGGACGCGCCGGTCCATCGCCACTGTCCTCAGTGTCTCTGTGCTGACCGGCATCCCCTTCTACTGGTGGCTGGACGTGTGGAGGGACGTGGACCCCCCCAGCATGCTGGATGAGGTCCTCAAGTGGGCTCACTGCCTCACGGTCTATTTTATCCCTTGTGGCGTCTTTCTGATCACCAACTCGGCCATCATCTGCCGGCTGCGGAGGCGGAGCCCGAGTGGGCAGCGGCCCCGGGTGGGCAAGAGCACAGCCATCCTCCTGGGCATCACCACACTCTTCGCCCTCCTTTGGGCTCCCCGGATCTTCGTCATGCTCTACCACCTGTATGTGGCCCCTGTCCACCGGGACTGGAGGGTCCACCTGGCCTTGGACGTGGCCAACATGGCGGCCATGCTCAATACCGCGGTCAACTTTGGCCTCTACTGCTTTGTCAGCAAGACTTTCCGGGCCACCGTCCGAGAGGTGTTCCATGACGCCCACCTGCCCTGCACGCTGGGGTCACGGCCGGAGGGCCTGATGGTGGGCCTTGCCTTAAAGCCCCCAGGACTTCCCAAAGGAGCAGGACCATAGAGGCAGGGCCCAGCAGGGCAAGAGCTACTGCTGCCCTTGTGGTGTCCTCGAAAAACTTTATCAACACCCTACTTTGCCACCTGAGGGCGGGGCAGGGAAGGCTCCTTCCTGTGGGGGCGGCTCCCCATGTGCAGGGGTGTCCAATTTATCCAACTCTCAAATTAGCTGCACCAACAATTTCCACTTACTGGCACAAGGAGAAGCCTCTTCTAGGCATAGGCTAACAGTGTCAGCTGCTCTGGACATTCCTTCATGAGGGACATTTCACCTGGCATGTTATGAAGGCCAGATCAACGGGGGCCGGATGAATGAATGAAAGGCAAGATGGATGGGTGGATGGATGGACAGGCAGGTAGATGGATGGACAGGTGGATGGATGAATGGATGGATGGATGGATGGATGGATGGATGGATGGATGGGTGGGCAGATGGATAGGAATCACTACCAGCCCCCACCCCACCCCAGCCCTCCAGAGCCTACCTCTCACTCCCCAAGTCATCACTTCTCTGGCTTCCAGTGGTAAGGCCAGGATGGAAGGAAACCATGGATAGGATCCCCTGTATATTCGAGGCTGGGAGAACCCAATGCTTTTGCTGAGTAAGGGGAGGATGGCTGCTTGGGAAAAGGGGTGATCTGAAAGAAGATTTGATGTCCCAGCTCTGGGGTGACACCACCCCTTGAGTCTCAATCATCCTGCTTCCATTCCACTTAACTCCCTGCCCTGGAGCCAGAACAGGTTCAGGGTCCCAGAAGGGCCCTTGTGTTTTCATTGTTGCTGCCTGATGAGACAGGAAGTGCCTCTCAGCCCCAAGGAGGAGGGATGGGAAGGGAACACTCAGCCTGCTCCACTTGGAGGAGGGCCTCTTTCTCCACCCTGTGGGGAGGAAGGCCCAGCAGATCAGGTGCCTCGGGCCCCTCCCAGCCTCTCCTGGGCCCCTCTCTTCTCTCTGCCATGGTGCCAGTCGGGAGAGGCAGCTGGGAGAGATTAGCAGATGGACCTCCCACCTGCTCTGGGCTTTGGGTAAACACATTAGCGGCTGCTTTCTGCTTCCCAGTCAGTCCAGCGGAGCTGACCTTTCCCCCTCAATGGGCGGTCCAGGCCAGGGCCCAGCATCACCCAACCCCTTAGTGGCATAGCCCAGAAGAAAGAGCCAGAAATGCACGGGGCACACCCACCATCAGTGCAAAATAAATACTTGGATTTCCCCTTCTCCCCAGAACAGGGGCATCCAGGAGGGGACTTTCAGCCGTACGCAAAAGGGGAAAAGGCAGGCCCTCCGTACTTTATCCATGATTCTAAACTTTATCCATAGTTCTTAAGAGCTCTGAAAACCAAAATATTTGTCTCAAGTTTGCCACGGTCACATTTAGTGGCCAAACCCGACCTGACCTGAAGCAGGACGAGGGGGCGTGGACACAGTGGTTCCCTGCAGACTGTCTGCGGTTGTGGCGGCTGGAACCGAGACCTCACGCATGGGACAGGCCACATGTGACCCTTCTCTGTTCTGAAGAGCTCTGAATTCTGGGACACATCGGGTCTCGAGCTCAGAGAGAGGAAGGGGGACCCCCAGCACCACCACTGCTGGCAGCGCAGGGTCCAGGCTGACCCTGAGTGTGTTCTGGACATGGAGGGTCCCCCAAGGAGGGGGGCGTGCAAGGCCAGGGAGCTTGGGGAAGAGCAGGCTCTAGAGGCTAGAATGATGCTTCCCAGGCCAGCGGAGAGGCCCGGTCCGCCTACAGAGGGAGGCATGGGGAAGAAAGGCACATTTCTGATGCAGAACCCAGTGGAACACCGTGGAGGGGCAACCTTACCCCCCTCCAGAAGAAACCTCTGAGAGCCCTCCAGGACCAGAAAAGAGCATTGTCATGGAAGGCTGGACTGAGGCCAGGGCGAGACCAGTGACCAGACCCTCTCGATGGGCCAGTGGGCCAATGGGATAAGACCCATTCATTCAGCGGCTTCTGATCACGGACGAAACCAGACGCTTCCAGAAGCGGGTGGAGGGCTCTGTGGGGACACGGAGAGTTTGGCACAGGTGGGGGCAGGAAGCCACCAGAACCAGGGTGTTAACGTGAATGGGACCTCACGCGGACCCACAGACTGGGGCGACACCAGTTTTTCCAAACAACCCTGGGTCCCAAGTATAGTCACCATTTTTCTGACGGAGGAAATGGGAGCCCAGAGAAGTGACACGCTGAGCACGCATGGCCCTCAGCTGGTGGAGAGCAGGGCGGCTGGTTCCCGGTCCTCCCAGCGCCTTGCAGGTGCATGCGGCGGGGAGGGGCAGCAGACTGGGGGATGGGAGGCTTCAGCGGTGCTTTGTGCCGCTTAGACTTTTTGGTCCCCCACTTAGCAGATTTGAAAAGCATGATCATAGTTTCCTGATAAGATGGATTGAGCAACATTCCGTTTAAATGTCTTTGTAAACTTTAACAAAACCCAGAGCTCTTCACTTGGATATCCGGATCACGGACATGTAGGCCATCATTAAAGCTGCTCTTGCCGCTGCCTTCGTGCGTTTTTAATATTAGCTCTCAACGACGTCCCGAAGGAGGACAAGACTGGGGTGGCCGTGGCGTGGCTCACCCGTCTCTCCTCTACCAGCCCATCAACAGAGTCCGCTCCAGCCGGTCTCAACTCCACATCAAGTGGACCTTTTAGCTCAGAAAGTTTTCCTTATGTTCCGACTCCTGATTGGGATGCTGGCCCCCTTCTCCCTTGTGCTCGGGCAGGAGAGCAAATGTGCTGTTGGCCAGGCTTCCAGGGTTCCCCTCTGTCGCGTCCACCACCCCCAGAGCGTCTCCATCCGGCTGGGACTCAGAGACTTGCCTGGACGTCCAGCGTCGCCCGCGTGCGTTCTCCCACATGCTCAGACCCCCGGCCCTGGTGCAGCTTTGCTGGTTTGCTTCCAGCTCCCTCCAGCTTTCCCCTTGAGGGGCTCTACCGCTCACTCTTTCCCCTTTTTCTTTTTGTTCAAAAAAAGGGGCACACAGGTTGGGTCAAAGGGGCCCACGGCTGTCCCTGTCCTGTCAAGGTGGGGAGTGGCAGCGGGCAAGATGGGGACAAGGGGAGAGGCTTCTAAGAGAACCTGCTTTTCTCAGCAACGAGGCTGGTCCCCCAGCCCCCTACCCCAAGCAGGACTTACTGAATGAAACACTGAGCCCTTTGGCCGGCCAGATGACAGATGTTGTGGCAGGGACGATTGGACGGTTTTTCACATGTCATCTTGGGGATCTTGTCTTTCCCCACGCCCAGCTCCTTTGCCAAAGGTGAAGCTTGAGCCCTTCAGAGGGTCTCGGGGCCCACCCACTCCTTTTGTCTGTCGCTATGGGCTCAGACAGCAGGGGGCGCTGCAGGACTGGCTGGATGGAAACCGACCCGCCCTGCTTCAAGCCAGATTTGTGGAAAGATCCAAGATACTGCAAAGAAAGTGTGCTTGCCCTGGGGCCTGCAGCCAGCTTGGGGAGTGGCCGGGTGGGAGGGATCCGCTGTTCCCCCTGTCGCTCCCCTCCACCCTGAAGCCATGCCAGCTGCCACGCTGGGGCTGGTGAGCCCAGAGGGCCCCCAGGTCACTGCAGTTTTCCCAGCTCATTCTGGTGGTTGGAATGGTTTCCTGTGCGTGGCACTGTGTAAAGGGCCCTTTCATTGGCCTCCTCCCTCCACCCATGGCAGGGTCCAGCCAGCCCCTCCCGCTGGTATCCCGGTCAGTGGCACTGCCTTCCCCATGGTGGGGAGCCTGCCCCTCGATCAGTGCCTCTGGGGTCCCACTCACCCCACCCTAGTCCATGGCCACTTGGCCCCACCCACTTGGCCAGTGAGTCCCAGCCACAGCAGCCACTTGGGCACCCAAGAAAGTCTGAGCCTTGGCAGCGGCCCCACGTGACAAGGATGGAGGGAAAAGGGCCGGGGAGGTGAGGAAGGAGAGAGACTGCCAAACCCCGCAGTGAGTCATGAGCAGAGGTGGGACCCAGGGTGGTTCCATCCCTGCCTGAAACCTTCCCTGGAACCGGCCGAGTTCCACCTTCTGGTCACAGAGCTGGAGGGAGAGTCTTTGGCCCACCCCCCCACTTAGTCTCCACCCCAGCCCTGCCAGCCCCACTGACCTCACCAGCCTGCTGAACCCCGTTCCTAGCTAGGACAGCCTGGCAGGCCTCGGGGAGCATGGGTGGCAGGCCTAGGCTAGGGCTGCCGTGCTGGGGGGCTCGCCCACCACGGATGGAAGGAGGGAAGGTGGAGGCTGATCCCAGGCCAGCCAGGTGCGAGACGCCCACCACCTCCTATCTCAGGCCTTCGCTCCTCTGTCCAAACAGCCTGGAAAGGGGGCCCCTCGCACCCCCTGCCCAGAAGAAAGTGGGCCACCTGCCCCACACTCCCTCCCCTTCTCTGTAAAAGGAGAGCTGAGTGGGTGAGGGCCTGACTTCACCCCAGGCCACCATGAGATTTGAGCAAGGGGGCCCCACCTGCCTTCCTCCTGCGCAGGAGTGTTGAAGGGGCCGGGGGTGGGCGTGCGAGCACAGCTGGTTTCCTTCCTACAGGTCCCCCCCATCCGCGACCCCGGAGCCCTGACCCCAAGACCCCATCCCTCCGGCTTGCTGTGAGGGGCTGGCTTGCCCTCCTGCCCTCCTGTTCAGCTTGGCTAGAAGATCCTTGGGAGCCCACCCCACCCCCGGCCTGACAGCACCCCTCCGTGGCCGCCCTCTAGCGGCTGCTGGAAGTGAAAGAGTTAACTGGTCTGTGGTGTTTCCTTCCCGGACTCAGGATGTATATTTAGCAGGCCAGGCTAGGAATGCCAAGAGGCCCTGGCATGGGCCCCTGATTCACCACAGCACCCCTCGGAGGCTGGGGGGAGGGCAGCGAAGTGGGAGGAGGAGCGCCGGTGCCATGGGGGTGGGATGGCAGAAGGGGAGAGGGTCCGCCAGACGGCAGGGGAAGGGATGTGCGAGCTGGCTGTGGTCTCACAGAGGGCATCCAGGCCCAGAAGGGGAGAAGGGGAAGAGGGGAGGGCATTGCTCTTTCTCTGTGGGAGAAGGACCTAGTGACCCAGTCTCCCAGGGGTGTGAGGGGATTGTTGGAGAGCAGGGCTAGGATCAGTGGGCTTCCCAGGGAGGGGTGAGGGGGCAGAGCTGCAGGGAGAGCTCCTTCAGCCACCTGCTGAAATGGTCCTGGGCCTGGGAATGTGGGAACTGAGTGTCCGCGCCAGGATGTCCCCTCCTGGTTAAAGTGCCCACCAGGCTGGTTGGAGGGGACCAGAGGCGAGATGGCTGGTGAGTGCTGTGCTGGGCGCCACACTGTCCCTCTGGGATGGCAGACATGGTGAGGCTGGGGCTGGGGCTGGGG